CAAGAATGTGCAATAAAAAGTAGGGGTTTTCATTTAAAAAATTGAAGATAACCTTCACATGATCTTCGAGCAACTATTCAAGGTCATATTAATGTCACCACCTTATGTCTCTCTTAAAGCCATACAACTTTTTCTAAGATCAAAAATAAAAAAGGGGTGGGACATTAAAATAGGACACGCTGTTTATAATTTGATATCTACTTTATTTTAATATTTCAAAATAATTATTATGAAATATTAATGTTAAAATGAGACAGGAATCGACACTTATCAAAGCTTTCATACGAAACTTATCAGATGATATATTTATTGAATGTTCCTAATCAATATCAAGCAATTAAATTTTGAAGACATTATTATGCGATATATCTGAATATGCGAGTTTTGAACAATGGTTAGTCAATTTCAAACGCGTTTTTCATTAAAAATTATAATATCTTCAACCTTTTCATATTAAAATTTTTAATATGAAATAACCTAAAAAAATCGACTATTAGCAGGTGATGCACTAATTTTTAGGCGTGTGTGTATAAAAAATATATATGTATAATATATTAATAATTAATATGGATTACTTAACAATCAGAAAAAGAAAGAAAAGTATTACAAAAATGTTTTTTAAAATAGGATTAACAAAAACAATTAAGAAAAAATAGAATTGATTAAAATACAACAAAATTCGATTTTGTTTTAATGTAATTTTGTAAATTATTATTCATTTCTTGCATTTGTTTAATATCTCTTTTCTTATTAACAAATTTATAAAATAAAACTGTATTTTACAATATCGATAACATGATGTAGTAATATAATGAGAAAATATCCCTTTGTCTTTCTCTCAATCATATATTTTATATAAGGAAATATAACAAAAAGTATTTCTCGCGTTTAAACATTTTTCTAAAATTAATGGAGCCAATAATTGAGCGCGTTACAACAGCTGCGGGTGAGTTTCATAAATATGCATAACTGTAATGAAGGCCACTTGAGCGGAATGCATATGCATTAATGCATAGACATTAGTATATGTATATGGGGGTGTTAATATTGCGAGGATAATTCTCCGCTGAAAGGTATAATACTAATGGGCTTTTGCCCGTTTTGACTTTCATTGGATAATACACGATACCCGAATATTATTAATATTCACACAGCACTTGAAACAAGAAAAACAACAATGTTAATTAGCAAAGAATTTATTCACAGCTTTGTATAAAATTATATAACTTCATATTATTATTATTATTATTATTATTATTATTATTATTACTTTATCAGCAAAATTTTTCTAAGCAAAAAGCAGTAAGAATGTTATAATTAAAAAGAGATATTTTAATCAAATGATCAATAATGATCGAGTAAATAAAAAAGCTGATATTATAAATAATCTATAAAAATTATAAATAATAATATACAAAAAATTTATTTATTTACATGTTATTAATTAATGAATAAGGATAAGAATCAACAGATCAATCCTTGGGAATGTGTTTCAAAGATTTTTTGAGAAACAAGCACGAAATGAATAGACAGGTTTTATCAAAATTTCGAAACTTTTAATCGGAAAATGGTGATGGCTACTGGCAATAATCTGGTATCGTGACATATTCATATCTAATAAATTTCATGATTGGTTCAAGCTTACCACCACCATTATCGGACTTTGAGCTGTCTAGGGCCTGGATATCCATTTTATGCTGTGGTATCGTTGTAACAGATGAAGTAGTGGTAGCCGTTCCTGCATAACACAAAAACCAAGCATAGATATTTCTATGCATATTCTAATCATGCATGACTAATCTAAGCATAGACATCAATTAAATGACAATTGCTTAAAGTTGGGGATTCTGATAACCTTGGCGACGCGATATGAAAATGCGTTTCAAAAATACTTCGAACGTTGAAAAATAATATTAAAAACTAAATATCGTTTTGTTATTATTTATTTTGCAATTATTTACAAAAATAGAATGTATTTTAAATAGCGTCCACTAATTATATTTTGTAAATTATTTTGCATTATTTTTTGTAAAAAATTGAGTTGAAAAGTTCTTAATTATTTTTTTTCTAGAGCTAAAGCGACTGCTGCAGTAATTACTGTTTCATTGAGCATTGTAGACAAAAATATTTCTTAAATAACGGTCACTAATTATTAGTGTTATTCCTTATAAGCAATTGAAAAGTTCTAAATTTTTTTTCTACAAATATAATTACTGCAATTATTGATCACTTACTTCATCATTGAGTATTATAGAAAAAAATCGTTCTGGACTTTTTGACTCACAGAAGCTGTTAGCGGTGTTACTTTTTTTCTTGTAACTGTAATAATAACATAATTACATTCTTTCGGTAAGGTTAATGAATGTAATAATTATTTTTATCGTTATTTTTTTATATTTGAACTTATTTGTGACATAATATTCATATCTTTAATCTTCAATCTTTAACGATACTCATATACGTTGTTATAGACTGCGTTCAGCAGATAAAGCAGCTCAGAGAGCGTTTAATGATTCTTTATTATAATTGATTTCAACATTTATTGTTAGATCCAATAATCATTCATGCTGACGCTAATTTTTAGCGTCAAGGTAGAACACGTGATCAAAATTGATGCTTGATATTTGTCAATTTTGATCACCTGTTGTCAAAAATGCGCGTCAGTATAAAAAGATACTTTAAAAAATTTGCAGAACTGCACTACTCTGCACTGAACTGTAATTTGTTATAGATCTTCAAGCTTATTACAATTTGTCCGAATTGCATAAAAAACGGAGAGTATACTTTCACGAAAAAAATAAAAAGAGATCAAATGTATTTGTTATATTCTCTTTTCAAAAAGGTACATGTATGTACATTTTGAAAAAGTACATCTAATTATTGCAGTATTTTTTCCTCTATCCTGTAGGGAGACCAAATAATATAAAACATAATTATAAAATCAACAAAAAGAACATTTATTTCGTGAGATAAACAATATAGCAATCTTGCTTACCGAACTTTTTAGATGGCTCGACTTCGATAATATGTATGTCGTCGGTTTTTCTTTATTCAATCTAATCTAATTTAACATAATTTAACTCTAACAAGAGGAACCAGACATGGTCCTTCGATTTAGCTAAATTTTATATACATATATAATACATAGTTCACCCCTCCTACTAATTTGTGCTAAATGGATACGATCCACCTCTCAAGCATTTGTGAGAAAAATGCATTTAAAATTTACGCGTTTGTAATGTACCTGTCGATAAGAGCGAGTCTGATCGAAATAAGCAGCGTGGCGTAATGAGTAAGGCGCCTGACTGCAATGCTGCATGTTGCTGGCTTGAATCTTCCTTTTACTAGTTTTTTTTTCATTTATATTGCGTTGTATCATTATATGTCTTTTGATATTTAGCTTAAATAATTAATATTTTTATTATAAAATTTATTATCAGATATAATATAATGAAATAAATTCCTATATAAGCCGACACGGGTGTGGTGTGTGTATTAATTTTTATCCCTGGTGGGATATTGAAATAATAAAAATTAATATACACATCACCCGTGTCGGCTCATGCAAATAGACATAAATTACTTCGTTATATCTAATAATAAATTTTAATAAATTTTAATAAATAAGACACAAATTACTTCATTATATCTAATAATAAATTTTATAATAAAAATATTAATTTTTCAAAATACAATTTTTGTTATTTAATTCTTAATTGATGTCTTGATATCTTACTTAACACTTTTTTTTATCAAAAAAATGCTATAGCATAAGATTTTTATTGTCTTTGATCGCAATTTCTCCTATGTTCCCAATATTATTTCAAAATCAGCGATACATTCGCTTAATGTAGCACTTTAATCATTTATTTGCAATCTGAGTTTTTACAGTCGATTTTTTAATTGTGAATTTTAAGAGATTGAATAAATAGTGAAGTTTTTAGTTTTCCGCGGTTATAAAAAACTTAGTGATGTTGAGATTACGCGTGTGCAAGGACACCAATATGTAGTTGTTTGTTCAGTTGCAAGAACGAATAAAATATCGTGTTTTTAGTGATCCATATTGTAGACTAAGTACCTGGTCTTTTGTTATAATTATTATTAAGTATTTTGTTGTATTATAATATAATTATAATACAACAAAATATAATTACATAATATAATTATAATGCAACAAAATACTTGATAATAATTATAACGCAAGATTAAGTATTTACTATACAGCAGACTGTAATAAAAAAAACGCAAGCGAGAAGTCGAAATCGTCGGAATAAATGATAAAATTGTTTGGAGAGTTAAATATTGTAAAGTCGATTTTATTAAGTATTGACTTTCCAGTCAATACAAAAATGCGGCTGCGAACAACATATTAGCAGTATGGTAGGGATATTTTGTAAGTTTGGCTGTTTTTGTAAGAGTCGTATGCTGAGAGTCGACAGATTTTCCCCACATCAAGAACTAAAAAAATTTTTTTCTCGAAAACGAGGCAAAACACGTTCTTGAGTTTTTTTCCAAAGATATAGAAAAACT